GTTTTTCAATAGTCACGGGTGTCGTTTAACGCGAGTACACTGCTGACACATCACTATTCGCCATTCCGTAGTAGGGGAGATTTAACCCATTCGTGACAATGTCAGCCACCGGTGGCTGACAAAGCTCTCACTCGGGACAATGGTATTACTGTGGCTGCAGGGCTTGAAATGGAATTTGGAAAGTTTTCTTCCATGAAAAGAATCTTCATACCCTCGCTCATCTACGCCAGCCCTGGGCAGAGGAAATCTCCCTCCACTCGGAATTTTATTGAAGAAAAATCTCCTGACGCTGCTGCTATTGCGCAATCCTGCGCGGTCGCGAATGGGTTAAAGACTCTCTGGAACAAACGATGATCATATATAAAGGGCTAATTAGAGAATATTAGAATGTGCAGTGGAGCTCAGAGTTCAGCGTTGATTTCTATGATAGAACGCAAATAAATATTTCATACGGACAGCAAACACCTCTTACGGGGCTGCCTTCAGGGCCATGTATCTAGCGTGATGTTTGAAATACGTCAGTAGTAGCAAATTCCACTACCGCACACCATGGTGGCACCTAATCGCAGTGTGCAATAATGCCTAACGGAATTATGAACAGTGAAGGAAGCCGGTGACCAAAATTACGTGGGCATTCTCAAGGCTTATAGCTATATACAACCAACTTTGCTCGCCCACACATAGTCCCACCGATGACTTAAAGGCACAGGTCACGACGGAGTCGGGATATTGTTCCGCTTGAAAACGAAATAAAAGGTGAAAACGGAACTGCCAGTGAGAAGAAAGGCAGAAAGAACCACAGAAAACACTTAATTTAGAGGCTTGTTCGCTTGTGAGATAAACCATGGCACGATGGAAAGACACATTTGGGCAAGGTGAAAGAATACGCGAAAAAAAAACATGTTAGGGGGGGGGGGGACCGAAGGCATCTCGTACGCTGTGAACGAGTTAAAGAGTCAGCAGTGGCAGCAATCAAGGCAAGGCCTTAGCGCCCTTATAGCGCGCTCGTATCGACGATGCCACAGTTCCACTTCTTGAGGACTATGGTAAAGTGTCTACTACTTCAGTCACAGAGACCTGACCTGGGCCTTCTTGTCACTTCTGGAATGGTGCCTCAAAGACTCCTCTCCTTCGAAGAGTCAAATGGACCACCTAGCGAGAATACGCGACAGTAGCTCACCCCGACTTAGAGTACGGGTAGAGGACATTGAAAGCTTTACGGTAGAGGTAAGGCCACAATTTTCCATCCTCAATACCTGGCATAAGACCGCTACGACCAGTTATTGATTGAGCTTTTAAAAGTATTGATTTTACTTCAACAAAAACAAATAAATTAATCTCAGAAACACTTCCAATTGAGGTTACAAAATAAAGAATTGGTGTCAGCCAACGAACTAACCCGACAACCACACAGATGAGCTATGTCCGACCAATGACAGATGAGCATGAGCGATCAAAAACAACGCCCAACCATAACTCCAATGTCGTGGATGGCAGTGTTTGAAGGCGACAAATGAGTAATGTGTAGTGTAGATCAGATTCGAGAATAACACCACCGTATCACAACATGCCATTGCCGTCAAAATCATGTTGACCGGTGTGCGCATTTGTCGTCTGAAAACACGTGATCCTTATTTTTTAATACAGATTAATAATGATGAAAATAGTTGGATTGGATGAAAATAATTTGAAAAGGTAAATTAAAAAGAGTACAGCTGAGTTGTTGGTAAACCTGAAGAACTTAATGAACTTACCTCGTAAGGACGACGATATTGCAGAAATTCGCCACAGTTCCAAATATGCACATGATAATTGATAAATATGTATGTATCGGGTTTGTAAAACAGGTGCACTTCCCTAAAAGTGAGATTCAATTATAAAAGCCACAAAGCAGTAGGAACATCTCACAAGAATGCTTGTTTGTGAAGAAAAAAGAAGGAAAGAAGGAACAAAACAAAAGCTGGGCTTGAGTGCTGCCCGGTAGCGCAATTGGTAGCGCCCTTGCCCGGCAAGCAAAAGGTGCGGGTTCGAGTCCCGTCTGGGGCAAAAGTTTTAGTGTCACGAACCCGCAATTCTGTGAAGACCAATTGGCAAGGCCATAAACAAAACAACAGGTAAAAAAACAAAAAACAAAGCATAGGATACAGTGGGCCTATTCAAAGGAAGGGCATGTGGTTGCGACAGTTCATGTCGCCTACAGTAATTCCAATTCTGAAAGGGCAAGAAAGTCATGGGTGGGTGTAAAAGCAGAACCGAAAAATTTAACGCACCCTAAGGCTTATTCCCTACCCCGCCTCCCCTCCCCAAGCCTGCACAATTGGAAAGTGACGAGGCTTATGAAATGTCGCCTGTGTATGCTTCGCTTAATTGGAATGGACTGAAGCAGGCCTCAAAAATCAGAAAACTGACCTAAAAAAGTCGTAAACAACGCTATGATTGGGCAGATGCACGAGCACCGTCTGGCATTGATCAGCGTCCATGTCGATCGATTATCGATTTGTTTACGCTGGATTCAGAATTGCATCTGTAATGAGAAAACGGTAGATGCTTGACAGGGCTATTCAGGGCACATGAGATATTCGCGTTCGAATGCGGGGGCATGAATAAATGCACATCGAGTTACCCGTCAACAATTATGAAGGTATTATACGAGGATAGACGACGACTCAACAGCAAAGTTCTCGAAGAGAAAAAAAAAAACATCGAGACGAGAATAGACGCATTACGAGTATTTATAGCACAAAACGAGGTGGGTAAATGGAGGAAATCGAAGAGCACTTGACGTAAATATTCCAAAGAGAGCTATCATGCTCAATAACAAAATTAAGAGGAAAAAATTTGAGCGGAATTCAGGAAAGAAAGGCGTAAAAATAGGGTCCGGAGCACGGACAAGAAGGAATGCACGTTGTAGTGCACGTAGTTATAGTATCCACTTGGTCCTTTAGATAGAATCTGGTGTCGTTTGCAATTTTTGAAGATATAAACGGGTTTGCTATGAATTTTTTAGTCCCACTTCAGGATTATTGTCGGATGCCATGTTTTTGTGAAATAGTTCTCGGTCCAGAATGTTTCGCAGGAAGATGTGGGAACTGTTTGAAATGAATATGTGTGGATTAAAAGGGTGTCGTATAAAGAATGTTCTCACTCAGACGGAGTGTTTTGATCCTGGCCTGGAATTGTTCAATATCCTAGTGGGATGCGCCACGCCTCCTACTTTCCCGATGTTTCTTTGCGTATCTAGCACATGCAAAGGAGGGCAGGACTCGGCACGCAGAGTCGTAGTTTCTGACCTACCTGACGAGACTAGCAAATGAACAGCTACAAAAATTTGGAAACTTTGTTCTTTAAGGGCGAAATTTTAACTGCGATTCGTCAGAACTGCTACCGAGCGGCGAAATCCCGCCCACTTATGACACTTGGTTGCCATAAAGGATACCAAATAGGACAGCAGCTTGTATCGAAGTGGGATAATTGTCGAATACTAATCTTCAGCTCATTTTAACCCTACACAAGCGAAGTACTAAACAATCTAAGGGACTTATGGGAGGCTAATCGGAAGCTTCCTTGAAAGGGAACCGGAATCAACGGTCGTGTAAGTGCGGTCATGAATGCCCTTCTCCTTTGAACTTCGACGTAGCTAGAGCTTTGGGCCTCCATGAGTTGAGTGGTACCGGTGCAGGAGGAAAAACTAGAAGTAATACAGCCAGAGCCACCCTCGCTTCCAAGCACGCCCACTGCGACGGGGACGCTGCTGTCTGCGTCTCTCTTGTACTCTCGTACTGTACTCCGCGTCTATATGTTGTCCAATCTCTCGCCTTGATGCTCGATAATTTGAAAGCCACGCCCAAATGATGAAAAAAAATTAAATCTCAAGTGACACAAAATTGCACCCGTACATTTCATTTCAATTGAAAACAAGTGATTCATCGTATAAATGGGCAGAAAATGCCGGCGTAAGTGTTCAGTGTTCCGGAAGCGAAATAAAGGATGAAAGGATAAAGATTCCGGGTAAAACTCCCTGTTGAAAAGCCCCACTCATTCTACTTCCTTTCACTTTCGTGGTGGAGTATGATGGCCCGTACAATAACATGAGCGAGCCAGCCAATGTGAAAAAATATTAGATTCCAAGGAAAAAAGGCAATTATATTAGCCACGTGGGTATCTTCAAGCATCCGGCTTTGTGACGTGCACACCTGAAGGAAAAGTAGAATAATAGATGATTATTTCTGACATGTT